ACGTTAGGGAGTGGTTAGGTCTGAGGTCTCTGTGGTCACAGGCGGGAGTGGTGCTTATAAAAGGCCTGGAGGGAAGTGAGTTCACTGCTTCCAGCTCTTCTGCCTCTTCTGCCATGGGAATATGCCGTTCAACGCTGCCTGCCGGAAGCAGACCGAGACCTCTCGAGAGCTGCATCTGCTGGTGCCTTGATCTTGGACTTCTTGGCCTCAGAAATGGGGGAAATAAATATGTATGATTTGTCAACTGTGTAACCTAAGATATTTTGTTGTAGCAGCGAGAATGGACTGAAAACAGCAAGGAACTGAATTTATCCACAGCCAGTGAGGAATGGAGACCGGCCAACCCAGCAGTCCTTAAGGAACTGAATTCTACCAGTAACCCTTATGGGTTTGCCAAAGGTTTTTTCTCTAGTTGGCCTTTCAGATGGGACCATAGGCCTTCATGTTGTCTACAGTGCAGTCTTTTGAGAGGTCTGGAAGAAGAAAACCAGACAAAACAGTGGCCAAACTCCTGACCCTTAGAAATTATGAGGTAATAAATGCATTTTCAAAAAGTTAATTTCAATTTTATGTGTACATGTGAATATCTGCATGCTTGTCTGTGTACCACATTTATGCCTGGTGCCCATGGAGGTAAGAAGAGGGCATTGGGTCCTCTGGAACTGAAATTAAAGATGGTTATGAGCCACCATGTGGGTTCTGGGAACTGAATGAGATTTCTCTGCAAGAGCAGTCAGTGTTCTTAAATGCTGAGCCCTCTCTCCAGCCTTTAAATGTGTTTGAAGTCTGTTTGTGCTAATGTGTTACACAGTAGTAATAGAACTCATGAGATGTAAAATGCTAACACTAATAAAGACAGAACCATATTGATGTCAAAGTAGCTGTTTTAAATTATTTCTTTTTCAGTTTTTAAATTTTTTGAAATTAAAATGCAATTATATAATTTCCCCCTTCCCTTTCTTCCCTCCAATCCTTCTTATGTATCCACTGACACACTCTCTCTCAAACTTAAATTCATGGTCTCTTTTTCTTTAATTATCATTTTATACACATACAGAGAGAGAGAAAGAGAGAGAGAGTGTGTTTGTTCTAAATATGTAAATATAACCCACTCATATACATACAAATAATATTATATAGACACCCTAATATCATGAATGACAGAGGTAATGTAACAGAATTTATAGCCAGTAAAAGATAATAAGCATCAACTTCCTGCCAACAAATTAGACAACTTCGCTGAAAGAGACAAATCTCTGTGAAAGCTTGCTTTAAGAGAAACAACCTGCTTCTACTTAGGAGAGAACGGGAGTCCATAGTTAGAGACCTCTTGCCAAGAAAACACCACATCCACATAGCTTTGGTGGTGCACTTCATCAAACACCTGAGACAATTTAAGATCTACAAAACAGAAGAGGGAGGGGGAGGGACTGCTTGTCAGTTCATTACTGAGATTGTATCACTGATGTTCAAATCAAAGATGGTGTAAGATAACCATAGACTAATGTCTCTTATGAGTATAAGTATAGACATTAAAAATGTCATAGCAGCCAGGCGGTGGTGGCGCACGCCTTTAATCCCAGCACTCAGGAGGCAGAGGCAGGCGGATCTCTGTGAGTTCGAGGCCGGCCTGGGCTACCAAGTGAGTTCCAGGAAAGGCGCAAAGCTACACAGAGAAACCCTGTCTCGAAAAACCAAAAAAAAAAAAAAAAAAATGTCATAGCAAATGAAAACCAATTATCATCTAACTATCCATCTAACTATCCACCCATCCATGCATCCACCTATTATCTCTCTCTTTATCTATCTCTCTATCTATCATCTGTCTATTATCTATCTATCCATCGATCCACTATTTTCCATATATCCATTCATCTATCCATCCATCCATCCATCCATTTTCCATCTATCCATTTATCTATCTATCTATCTATCTGTCTATCTATGTGCATACAATAATCAATGAGTGTAGTTAATAAACACAAGAATGCAAGGTTAGTGTAACATCTGAAAATCAATGTTAAGAGACAAAGCAAGGTCATATGATCATTTCCATACATATAAAAAATTTAAGAAAACTCAATGTCCACATATAATACAAACTCTCAACAAACTAAGAATTGAAAGGAGTGCTTTGTCTTTTAAAAAGACAATCTACAAGGACCCTTCTAAGTAGTATTTCATACTATCGAATACTACTCAGCATGAAAAAAGAATGATCTCTGGGCTGTACACAACAACAATATGGGTGTGCCTCAGAGTAAATATGCTGAGGAAAAGAATCCAGAGGAACACTTGCTGGAATAGTTGGATATCCACATGCAAAAGCAAAGACACACACACACACACACACACACACACACACACACACACACACGCACACCAGTCACTTTGATCACTGTTCACAACATATTCAGACATGAACTCAAAATGGGTCAGATTTTTCTGGATCAGCTCAGTCTTGGCATATGACAGCAGGTCCCACGGTGCTTGAGACAGAAGGAAGGAGATGGGGGAGGGGAGGACAGGCTTCTTTGCATCTGTACACAATTGTTTGGGGACCTATGGAGTGAACTGTGACCTCAGAGGCAGCAAGATGGCCGTTTGGCTCCCCGAGATTTAGATCAGACACAGGACCATTGTGAGTCCACGGCAGTGGGAATGGATCTAACTTATCTTGGGTTGATATCTAAGATCCAGGCACATTCCTGAAGCCAGGTTTCAAGGGCAGAGCCTCTCCCACCATTAGCCTGCTTTGTCTATTGAGTTTCCTGAGAAACTGCAGGACACAGTATCTGGGGTTACTTTGGCCTTGAAGTTATGACTTGAGGTGATTGCAGTCTGGGCAAGATGAATCCAGATTTTAATGTAGGACTGTGAGACTTAAGTTTGTAGATGAGAACATAGAAAACCTTCGTGGGCTTGGGTCAGGCAGAGAAGTTTTAGATAAAATAGCCCAACACATATCCTAAAAGAGTAAAATTGACAAACTGAACTTTATCGAAATGAAGACCTATTCTTCACAGACATCAAGAGAAGATAATAGAAGGTAGAGGTTGGGAGCTGGTGCTTGTCAATCAGGTGTGACGAGGGCCTCGGACCCTCAATATGTAAAGAGATCTTTAACATGAAAATATCTGAACTGAACATCTGGACAAAGGATCCGAACAGATAGCTCATCCGAGAAGAAATACGGATGGCAGATAAGTATGGGTTAAGTATCTGTGAGTAAGTCCAATATAATTGGGAAATGATATAATCAGGGAAATGCGAACTGAAGCCATGGTGCCTACATCATTTCCTTCCCCGAGTCTGTCTGCATGCCTGCAACTCAAATGCCCGTGTTGCTGAAGGGAATATAAATGGTCTAACTTGGCATACCACTGTGGTAGTAATCTTAAAGTTATCTTTGTTAACTCATCAGACAGTCTAGCTATTGCAACCCTAGGTTTACCCAAAAGTAATAAAAGCTTATAAAAGGACACAAAAGCTCAGGGATATTTGATTTGCAACAGCCCCAAACTGGAAACAATTAAACATCTATCATCATCATCATCATCATCATCATCATCATCATCATTTTGCAGTAACTAGGGATTGAACTCACAATCACAACTGTGTGAATTCACAGAACCTCACAAATGCCAGTGAAGTGCCTTAACCTGAACTACATGCCCGAGTTCAAATATCTTTCAGTTAGGAATGGATAAAACACACTGTGGTACATCCACACCGTGAAATACTACTTAGCATGAAAAGGGAATGAACTATGAGATACCCACGACAACATGGATGTATCCCAGAAGAAATATGTTGAGGGAGAGAAGCTAGAATATGAAATTTTAGAAATTGTGCAACTTCCTGATGTCCTTCACAAGGCTTTGGGACCCTAGCATCTCCTACTCTGAACCCAGCGCCTAACGTCTTTGCCTGCTTGCTGCGCGGGCGCGCCTCTAGGGGCAGAAGAACCCGGTAACTTTGGGCAGGTGGGGAGCAGCGGACCCCAGCAAGATCCAAGTGCGAAATGGAGTGATTTTATGTTATCGCCACTATAGAGAAAGCAGCCAAGCAATTATAACGCAAGAGCAGGGGCTAGAATATTCGAAAAGAAATGTTGGGACGACACAGCACAGGCAGGAAATCCCAACAGCAGCACCAAGGTCGCGGGTGGGGGGATGGGGTGGGGGATGGGGACGGGCTTTGCTCCTCCCCGACCCCAGGCAGCGCAACCCGGGCGGGTGGAGTCCTTGCGGGCCTCGGAAGCCCCTGCCCGAGGAGCTAACCATTTATGTCACACTGTGACAATTATTCTGCATAAAATTATCATTAAAAACCCTAATTTTTCAGCTTCCAACCCCGCCAGTGGCCTTTTAGCATTCTTCAGCGCCGCGTCTGCAGGCCGTGATCAGAGGCTCATTACCGCGGCGTGGCGCCCCGCGCGCTCGCAATCAAGCGCTAATTAACCCGCCCGGGGCCGCGCCGGAGGGGCGGGGTCGAGGACGGTCCAGCGGCCGGTGGGGCGGGGTTCATGGCCTGGGGACTATCCCAACCTGGGCCCTAGAGATCCCAGCCTGGGGCTGTGAGTCAGGCTCATTGGCCTGGGAATTAGGTTCAGAATCCCAAGCCTGGGGACCAGGGTCAGGGTCTCTGATGTGGGGAGCAGGCTTAGGGTCCTCGGCTTGGAGCCTAGGGACAGACTTGGGGGTTAGAGTCACAATCCCAGGTTAGGGGACTAGGGCACATAGATCCTGGCCTGGGGACCAGATTCAGAAAATCTCCAGCTTGGGTTCTAGGGATAGAGTGGTACTTGGCCTGGGAAGTGGGGTCAGGGTCCCTAACCTAGTCAGGGGCCTGGGAAAGAAGCAAGTATGGACCCGGGCCCGGAAACACGTGACCAAAGGCCAGACTTGGGTCTAGGCCTGAGACCCGCTCTCCCCACCCCCCCACCCCACCCCAAATCTGGGTCCTGAGACCAGTCAGCGGTGCAGGGTTCGGCTTACCCCAGAGAGGCGGGTGTGCGGCACAGATGCAGGGGTGCTAGGCCCTCGGCGCTGAGCAGATCTGGGTCTGCCCCGTGCTGCAGCAACAGCCGGGTGCAGGCGGTATGGCCCCCGAGGCAGGCCTCGTGTAGGGCACCACGACCTCCGGGCCTGGCATCCGGATCAGCGCTGTGACTGAGAAGGTGTCGCACGCAGATCACGTGGCCGTGGGCTGCAGCGATGCACAGCGGTGTGGTGAGCTCCCGCTTGTACTCCAGGGTCCAGAGGCCTGGGAGGGGAAGAGAGGGGACTTGATGTAAGGCTGAGGTAGATGGACGGACTGGTGGGGCGGGAGCGCAATTTGCTGAAGTTGACAGGTGAAACTACTTCTTAGAGGTTAAGTACCCAGATGGGCTTGTGCGTGAGTCACCTGAGAGTAGAGTTAGAGATGCATACCCCACACAGAGAGCAGAGAGACACACGGAGTGAAAGACAGGATCCATGGAGGAAGAAGAGAAGAGACTGGGGAGGGCTACGATTGAGATTACTGCGAGATAAGGGGGATTTCCCAGATGTGGGACGACTGGAAATCTGGTAAAATTTAGAGTTAAAGGCTGGTCCAGGAGGAAGGATGAGATGTATGTATGTATGTATGTATGTATGTATGTAATCCCAGTGCAGAAGGCATCTCTTCTAGGCTCTGGGTTGGGGGTAGCTTGAGAGAGGAGTGGGCTGTGGAATTTTCCATAATCTAACCTTCTGCCACCTACCCCTTCATCATTAAAAGGAAACAAACATACAAAACAAACCCCATCACCAAGGTTTGCTGAAGAAAAGACTTCTGAAAAACAAAAAGTTGAGTGTTCATAGAAGTGGCTGCTATGGAAGGCTGCTTTCATGTGGCTGTCCAAAGTCCACATGATTCTGGCGTGTGTGTGTGTGTGTGTGTGTGTGTGTGTGTGTGTGTGTGTGTAGGGCTGTTCATTCTCTATGGATGAATGAGCACATACTGTGTGTTTGGCTTCTCTGAACACTTCTCTGCTCTCATAAAGCCAGGGCAAGGTTGTTAGTAGCCAGGAGCACCTGTGGGATGGGGAGGTGTCCCCTGTGAATACCATCAAGGGACAGACACTCACATGGCAGGACGGCTTTCTGTAATGATGGAAGAATCGATAAGGTGCCTGTAATGAGCTGTACAGGAGACCCTTTCTGAGGCCATCTCCTTCCTGGGACACATGCTGGGCTGTTTTGAAAGCCCACACTTATTAATTATCTACCTGCATGTGGCAAAGAGTCCCAGCCTGCTGCTTGTCCCCAAGGCCCAGCCTTGAGCTTGCTGTTTGCTCAGTGTGGGAAGTGGGGAGGGACTGTCCTCACTGGTGTGGCGTGACAGTAGTCAGAGACCCAGGGATTGTGTGTGTGTGTGTGTGTGTGTGTGTGTGTGTGTGTGTGTGTGTGTGTGCCTGGGGTTGGGCTCACTTTTCTAGGGAAAACAGTCTGATTACAGGGATGGGGTGGGTCTTCCTTGAGGAGAGCGACCCCCGTCTTCCTCAGGGACCACACCTTCAACTCCTGCTTTGTTGTGTTCCCCAAAATACAGAGTCTGCTTACTTTTCCAGAGCCTTCCAAGTTCCTAGCCTACTCAGCTGCCTTCCTCAACCCCCATAGTTCTGTACGCCCACCCTGATGAGCCAAGACTCCCTAGGTCCTGGGCTGTACTGATAAGATTCCTTCACACTAACAAGAAAACCTAAACTTCTGGGCCCCAGAGATGACGAGGCTGGTAAAGTGCTTGCTCTGAAAATATAAGGACTTGAGTTTGATCTTCAGAACCTACATACAAAATCTGGGTATGGTGGTCCATGCTTGCAGCCCCAGTGCTGGGGAGCTGGAGACCGGAAGACATTCGGGCACACTGATCTGACAGCCTAGCCTAGTTGAGAGACTCTGTCTCAAGAATCAGTGTTCCCAGGGGCTCTTTCTTCTCTGGGGAGTCAGGTGACTGGGCAAACCATCAGGGAATCTAAATATCCCCTAGCCCCTGCTTTCCTGGTCCTCACTGAGTTGGGACGGATTAACTGGACTGGCATTTCCATGGTGCTCCGATGTCAGCACATTCCAGTGTCCTAAAAAGATGTGTGTTCTAGAAAGGTGTGGAACAATGGAGTCAAAAGACTACAGGGGAGAAAAGGAACGAAATTTTAGACTTTGGCAACATGAAAAAGATGGGGCTGGGGAGGGTGGCTTGCCAGGGGTGGGTAGTCTGTGATTTGAAAAATAAACATAGCTTAGCTTTTAAGCAGCTGACATTCTTGGTCTGAGGCAGGTGAAGGAGGGAAGCCCAGAAAGATGCCACTAGGAGGTGGTGCAGTCCAGACTAGGATTGACAGCACCCAGCCAGCAGGCCCCACGCCTGTTACAAACTGTATAGGTCTTGGGCAGTGTCTGGGGTTCAGTTCTTCCTCTCATGAGAGGTATAAACAGAAGTGTGCTGGTAAAGAATTACCTTTCCCCATGCTTAGCCCGCTAGAGCTCCCGGGTTAGGACTTGGGACATTGGATTCCCACCGTCTGCCAGAGCTGTGGTGGATTTCAACACAGCAGTGCACGGCAGGTGGGTGCCTAGTGCAGCCTACCAGCCCCAAAGCCCGAGTACATCTGGATGGCTGAGCACGTAGCAGCCACATCCGAGTGGCCCGCCTGCGCCCTGACACATAGCGCAGGGATCCACGGATTTACTTCCCCTTTCTTCTTCGTTTTCAGGCTTCCCTAGGTTCCAAGAGGAGGGTCTTGGTTCCTAGTGTTCTTCCCTCTGTTGAAGCTGTTTGGGTTTTAGGATATCACTTGCACTGATGAGTTCCAGTGGTGTTCAGTGACTCACAGAAGGACCTCACACAGAGCTTCATGTCAGAGGTCTGTCTAGTCTTCTGTGGCTCCCTCAGCTGCCAAGATCAACAGCTAAACCAAGGCTTTGCTTTCAAGGCAAGAGACACATCCAACATCACTGGATGGGTGCTTCTCACCCATCATTTTCCTTTTCAGAGCCCGTCACCCGCCAGACCAGGTTTGTTTACAGAGCTCCCTTGGTTACATGCTCCTGACAGGCAGTCTGTGGACTCAACCTTCACACAGGATGCACACGTCCCCAGAGTGTTAGTCAAAGCTTAAAGACGCACAACTGAGCTTTAGCGGAAGCAGGGTACCTGAGAGCCCAAAAGTGGCCAAGGATGTCACCTGCCACTCCATCTCTCCATTAGTGATCTCAAACACCACGTTGGCATCCTGGAAGAACTGGTCCATGAGGGATAGAATATGGTCCAGGTCTCCTGCGACCAATGCAGCATGGAACTCAAGCTCGGGAGTCCCAGCTCTGCCCCGAGGCTCTCTGTTCATCTTCTGGAAGATCTGCAGTTTTCTTCCAGCTGGGTCTAGTTGCCTCTCCATTGCAGAACAACTGATTTCAGGATGGGTTCTTTAGCAGAGGAAGAAGGCCTTACGGAGAGTGGGCTATTTCCATTGTCATTACTCAATTGTCCTGCGGTTGGAGCCCCATGGTGGTGTATTTATAACTCCTGTGGGTTCTGATGTGATAATGGTTACTTGATATGACCGGGGTCATGTGACCACCGAGATGTCACCGCGTTCTCTCCCTCCCTGTGATTGTATAGATGCTAACCCCAAAGGAAAAAAAATGCTTCTGCCCATCTCGGTGCTGCTCTGCACGCGTTGAGTCAAAGACAGACACTGGCCACATGTATTTATCCTGACAGACAGACGCAGCATTTCTCTTATTCACTGTTTAGTCAGGTGACCCCAGCCTTACACAACATTGATGATACTTGTTCGTGCAGGTTAAGTGACTAGTTTGTAAATATGACCTCAGTGGCCAAAACACTTAGCAGATAAATAATATTCTCTCAGATTAAAAAAACCCATCATATTTAGAAATGGTAAGTAAGGGTCTTAAGAGGAAAGACACAGAGGGCCCTGCATGCATGGCTACTACTGCTTAAGGACTGTGGCATCCACTTGGGATAACAGGCTTGGAGAGAAAGAGGCAGGGCCAGGGTTGCTCAATGACGTGGTCAAGCTGTGATCGAAGCCCATTACATTGGTGTTGCAGAACCTGCTCCCTGTCCAGCAGTCCACACTGCCCAGATCCGAGGGCTAACAGTGGGATCTGCTCAGAACTCCAGTCCAACTTCTAGAAGCTGCTTTGCAGGGAGAGTCCTGTGGCTGGAACTTGGTTTGGTGCTGAAGGAAGGATGTGATGGCTCCTGTGAGTCGCTTGAGGGAAACTGAAGCCCAAAGCGGTCAGCCCTTTGCTCCCAGTGTGTGTAGCGCTCAGGTCCTAACAGTGGTTTCTACACCGTTAGATGTAGATGACCGGAGATGACGCAATCAGTAAAGTGCCTACTTTCCAAGCAAAGGACTTGAGTTCAATACCCAGAACCCATGTAAAAAAGAAGTTGGGTGCAGTGATGTAAACTCATATTCCTAGGACTGGGGAAGCACAGATGGGTGGATCCCTGGGACTCCCTGGCCAGCCAGCTTAGCCTAATTAATTAGTGAGATTTCCAGACCAACACGAGATCTGTCTCCACTAAAGGTAGACGGCTTCTGAGGAATGACAACAGGCCATTAAGACTGTGTTTCAAGACAGCCAGGCTATACCTCAAGCTGACAGCAAAACTTTGTAGTGTAGTCCACATGGCGCTGGTTCTGAGGTCCGGAAAGTTGCAAGAGTGAGGGGGTTCCAGAAAGCAGCCAAGGTCATGTGATGTGTGGCAGGGTTAGATTCTCCGCAAGGAGGTCATGGGAAGCCATTGTTCAATGCTGTGATGGCAAAGCCTGAGTTTCCTTGGAGACCTCAGGACATCGGCGATGCTGGGATCGTTGGATGCCCACCGAGGAGCATTTCAGGCACAGGGTAGAGCTGGCCCAGGGGAATCGATGTGTGCTGCAGACAGCAGAGCTGGAGGGCAGGACTGGAGCTCAGACAGCAGATATGGAACCACGGGACTCGGTGTTTGTCTTGTCTTACAGGACTTGGTGTTTGGTTCTGCTTTGGACTAGTCTTTCATCGCTGTGACGGCCTCCCTCCCTTTTGGGCTGGGGAATGTTTACTCTGTGCTGTTGGAGATTGGAGTATATGTGACTTGCTTTTATATTTTACAGAAGATCATAGTTAAGAACTTGTCTTGAGGGCCATCGAGATGGCTCAGCAGATAAACACCTGTTCCACAAGCCGATCCCTGGAACCCACATAAAGGTGAAGGAGAGAACCAACTCCACAGAGCTGTCCTCTGACCTCCACATACTTCCTCACACACAAACACAGCCATAAGAAATAAATAAGAAAGAAAAAAGGAGTTTGCCTTGAATCTCAGATGAGACTTTGAGTTTTCTTTCTTTCTTCCTCCCTCCCTCCCTCGCTCCCTCGCTCCCTCCCTCCTTCCCTTCCTTCCTTCCTCCCCCCCCTCTGTGCATACTTGTAGATTGCACTTGCATGTAGAGACCTGAAAATAGTGGTAGCTCTCCATTTTATTTATTGAGGCTGTGTCACTAACTGATTCCTGAGCTTGCTAGGTAGCCAGCTTGCCAGGCTATCCCCACCCCCCATCTGTGCTTTCTCAGTACCAAGGTTGCATGCGGTCCTCACGCCTGCCTGGCTTTTCCATGGGCATCTGGGGATCTGAACTAATGTCCTTGCACTTGTGTGGCAAGTGCTTTATCCCCTGAGCCAGCTGCTGGCCCCGGACATGCGAACAGTTTGGACCATTAAAGACTGTGAAGACGTTTGGAAACGAACTCAACGCACTTTGCATCATGAGATGAAAATGAAGCTTTAGGCAGAATATGATGATTTAAAATGACATATTTGGGTGTCGAGCCGATGAAGGATGGAACTGTGATAGTTAATTTTCATTGTTAACTGGACTAAATTTAGAACCACCACAGATACAAACCTCTGGGTGTGCGTACAGGGCGTTTCCCAAAGGGTTTAACTGAGGTGGAAAGACACCCCCCCCCACCCCCCACCCCCCCCACCCCCCCCCACCCCCCACCCCCGCCTTCAGTGCGAGCAGCACCATCACATCGGCTGGAGTCCTGGACTGAGTGGAAAGGAGGAAGGGAGCTGAGCATCAGTGTTCATCTCTCTCTGCTTCCTGGTTGTGGACAAGGTACGAGCAGCTGCCAGCCCCATGCTCCTGCAGCCACAGCTAGAGTGATTTTTACCATCACACCTTCCCTGCGATGTAGACCGTGCTTTCAAACTTTGAACCCAAATAGACCCTTCCTTTGCTAGGTTGCTTTTTATGAATATTTTGTCACAGTGACAAGAAAGACAATATACCCATCTTTGCTCTTGGTACAGACCTGAGTCACAGGCACAGGTGGGCGTGCACAGACTGACCCAAAGGCTGGAACCTGCCTGTGATGCTTGGACTTAGTTGCTCCACAGAGGAGGATCTCAGGATATACTAGATATAGGGTATGGCTGTCTGTCCGTTCGCCGGGGATGCCTCCACACAGGTAGATAAGGGATGCTGACTGTGCAAAGCGCCAGAGGGGTCACTGATGAGAGCTAGTGTAGCTGGAGGGGCTTGGTCATGAGCTACAGCCCCCTTGCTCATTCCAGCAGCAACTTTAAGTGTTTCCAGTCCCGAATGCAGGCGCCGCACCGTCTTATTCTCCTGAAATGGATGGTCATCAGATCCACTTCTAGAGCACTCCAGCGCAGCTGGAATATGGGACAATTTGAGCGTGCCCCTCACTTTACACTGGAGGATGTTTTCCAAGCCATTGTAATCTGCCATTGGATGTTTTTAAGAGGGCTGGAGGGGATGTCAGGATGAAATGGGCTTCGCTCTAGGCTAAATTTAGCTTCCTATGTGTTTTAGCCAGTTCACTCGATGTCTGAGCTGGAATTCAGTAGCTAGGGAGTAGAACTTTAAAAATAACTCCTGGCAGGCAGTGCCGCCTTTGCAAGTGGGACATGAAGATGACCTCACGAACCGGGCAGAGAGCTGGCTTTTCTTTTTCCAGAACAAGAATAGAAGCATTGTTGACTATTACATTAAATAAATAAACCAACCATTTCTTTCCTTTAGTCATTCACCAAACATTACGTTTTTGGGGTATGTTGTAAGGTTTCAGAGGTTCAGAGATGAAAACCCCATCTGCAAGGATCACACAGAAAAAAAAAAACTGTCTGGAAGACCCTAACAAGAGCCATTTAGTCTTCCTGGCCACCAGCGGTGGGAAGTCCCATGGGTGAGAGCCATACTCCTTTCTGACGCAGTGCTCCGGGTTGGGCTCCTTACCTGCTTCCGCCTCTAAGTGACACTGCCCTTGTACACCTAGCCAAGTGTTCCCACATGCTCTTTGCCCGCCCCCTCTCTTTCCTCTCCCTTCATCCCCCTCCTCTTCCTCTTGTCCTCACCCCTTTCAACTCAGTCAAAGTCAGTGCACAGCCCCAAGAATCGACTCAGGCTTTACTTTCTTCTTCAGGCCTAGTCTACATGGAAACCAAACTTGTTTTAAATGTGAATTTGTGGATAAGTTGCTGAAAAACTGTCTAAACCTGAGGAACTATGGCCAAACAGAAGGACTGGAGTCTTTAGTTTTACTTTTCAAATGCAGAACAAATTGAGATTCCTTAGACGAGAGAACATCACGCTAGGTCTGTCTGGAAAAGCCTCCACGGGATTAGGAAAGACGTTCTGCGGATGTTTCAAAAATGAGTGTCACTTGTAGATCTGGGGGTCAGTGGGAGTCTATCAAGGGGAGCAGGACAAAGTGTGGCTTTGGATGCAATTGTTTGTTACTATACAGTGGGGTGAGGTAAGAGGTGTGTGCGCTTCAACCCGAGGTGGGTGGTATCCTGAAGACTTCAGAGAAGATGAAAAACTGTGGTTCTTTGGAAAAGAAAATCTGAACGAGTGATTCACAGTGGAGCAGGGCCGTGCACGATGCCTCAGAGCAGTGCCTAATACTTTGGTTGCAAAATGGGATCCCCTGAGGAGCTAGAAAAGCCAGGGATGACAAGACCCCAGCTTGAAGATTCTCTTGTACTGTGCTGGGCTGTGACCTGGGCATCGGGACCACTGGGAACTCTGAGTGTTTCTATCTGCGGTCAGGTTGAGACTGTGCTCCAGAAGGGAGCTGGGGACACTGTAAAATGCTGCCTTAAGGTCTGCCCCGCATGTCCACTGATGGGTGATTTGTGCGAATATGAATATACAAGGGGAAACGGGGAGCCTCAGAGATGCACTCAGGTTCCAAATGACCTCAGCAGGCCAGAGCAGTGGGCGGAGCCAGT